AATTATATATTTTTTATTTTTCTTTATTTACCTTCTTTGTTTTCATGTAACATTTCTTTGGATTTGGACATAGATATATCAGCTGAGATTGCAGTTTGAATGAGTGATTCATCTTGAGAAATTACTTTGCTTTCTTTTGTTAAATTGTTTTCTAAATTCAGGTAATCCATTTCATCAAAAATGTTTATATTTTCTAAAGATTCAAAAAAATGTATTGGTCCATTAGGATGTGTAACAAGTCCTGAATATGATTCTACACAAATATCTTTTACTTTATCAATATGATAAGATTGTAAATTTTGTGATTTATTTTGTTCCATTGATGAAATATTTGCATTGCTTTCAACTATTTCTGCTATGCTATCGTTGCTAGTACATACATTTTTCTTTATATGTGTCTCTTCAAGCTTTTCGTAACAAAGACTTTTCTTGTCTAATTCTTCCAACCAAATATCACCAAGTATATCACGATAATAATCACCACTATAAAAATCATACGTAAAAAGTTCTGTTTCCTTGTCACTATTTATAGAGGTTGAAACTGGCTCTTCATAAAATATAATATCTTTGTCATGCGACATACAATTTGCACAAGTACAAGTATACAATACTTCAGGGTTCAATAAAAAATTTGAAGCAGTGTCTCTATCTATCAAGTCTTCTTTTAAATCATTTATCATTATTGGAAACTTATAATTTGTATGATTTGTTTGGAAAACGTTTTCATTCTGCATTATATCGAACTCTGTTGAATTACCAGAAATAATAGGATTACAATTTATGTCATACTTTTTCTCAAAATTGTAATTCTCATTGTTACAGTAAAGAATATTAGACGGTTCCACTGATTTTGCTTCAACATCATCTAAATCGTTTATATAGTTTGAAGTATTCGATTCACAGATGGATTGAGTAAGTATAATGTTACTGGAAAAATTATTAACATCTTGCACTGCAATGTTTTCTTTCATATTTCCTTGTGAAATAGTGGTTAATCCATCAGTATCAAAGTCTAATTTTTTATATAACTTATTTTTTGTTCTGCAACTAGATTTGCGTCCTATTAATTTTCTTGATTTCTTGTTACACAAATTTCCTTCCTGCTTATTATTTTTTGATCTCTTCAATGATGCATTCTTTTTATAGTTTAATGGAATATGCAATGTATTTAATTGATTAACTTTTTGTAACATGCTTTTATCTTTATTATTATTCCAATCAGGTATATCATATGATAGATCCAATGGATTGTGTACTTGTTTCCTTTGATGATGTGATTTTGCTGATGCAATTTTACTATAACTAGTTTCCATTTCTAAATCAATGCTAGATAATATTGTATTTAGCTCAAAAGAAGTATCTATATCTTTTGTTAATAAGCAAGTATCAACCTTATCTAACATAAGTGCTTTATTATTTTTATATATTTTTGTATTATTATTTCTTAAGATATTAGGTAAATTCCGTATAGGTTGTGTACTGTGCAATGCAGTTTGGTTTGCAATAATTTCTTCTTTTAATATATTCAGATCCTCAACAAAAATAGGTTTAGAAGATTCCATAGAAAGCAAAGATATTTCAGCATCCTTCATACTTCTTTCAATATTGCAACTCTGTGCCTGCATACTCTGCTTTGATATATATAAACCTTTAATCAATAAATAAAAAACAATTGGCGCAAACATTTTTATAATAAATATATGCCTATCAATTAAACTATATTATAGATATAGAAGAAAGTTGCATGCAAAATTGTTTATTACTAATTAATTATTAAATCCATGATTACATTATATAATTAAAGGAATGAAATTAAGTATTTAATTAGCATTTGAAAGAACATTTACTATATATATTTTTGCTTTCATTTAGGTAAAAAGAATCTTTATAATATAAATAATAATAAAACTAGTTTTTGTCTCTTATGTAAAATAGTAATAAGTGTCAATATAACATCATAAAAATCAAATTAAACATATATGTCACATGTTTAATATAATATTGATTATCTGGGCATAAATAATGATAATGTTGACACACAAATAATCTGAAACATCATTTTATATATATATACAGTAAAAATATGTAGATTCATGAAATTTATAATTTATGACAGGAAATGTAAATATTTAAATTTTAGGTTTTAATATTTCTATATCTTGAATTCTATAATTGAGAAACATCACACATACATATTTATGTGTCTTATTTAAGTATTGATTTTAACCATAAAATCCCTTTTAATTATATTTTCTATTTTGTTTTCAAAATAGAATACAAAAGCAAGTACAAATAAAACAAATAGATTTGATCATTTGTTTCTTTCTCAAGCTTAGAAAAAATGCAAAAAATCAATTATAATAAAATCAAAAATTATTATTATGAAGAAATCAGGCCTCACTCAATCCTTGTAAAGTTTCTTCTAATTAAATATTTGTTACACAAAATCTTTATCAAGTGCGCGCAATAAAACTCGGGATATATGTGACTAAAAAAATCGTTTATCACTTAAAATGTTAATAAAAGTAATAAGCAACAAAACACGAGATAATCGTCGTTTTTTCTCTTTTCTTTCGGATAGAATAAACAACTATATTAAATACGAGGTGAAAATACATGTCTTTATATATTATTGTTTATTCTAAGAAACTCTGCATACATATACACACACTAATCGTCGATTAATAATATTTACAGATGTCAATTTAATTATTAGAAATAATGTTAATGTCAGACTCACATTCCATGGACACAGAGAGCTATCTTTCACGTCTTATTCTTCAAGAGATCCCACATCGGTATAACTATCACAATGCAGATATAATATGTATCTACATTCTACAATGAATTCGTCGCTTGCTCGTGCAAGACTAAAGTGACTAAAGCAAGGCAAGCGGCGATTCGACGCGCAAAAGAGCGCGTCTTCGTCGCTAAACAGAAAAAGAAACTTGAGAAGTCCTTGAGAGCGATAATCGCCCGGCATAGAAAAAAGATATCCTACTGTAAACACTATCGCCCGACTACGGTCCTTTTTCTAAACATTCGATATATTCATCCCATTGACTCTGTGGCGTCGATAAAATATACGTTTCCAATCGGATCCGTACATAAACAGATTTCTATATATATATATATATATACGAAAAAAATATAGGTCTGCCGTGAAGGAGCTTTGGAAATTTTGTAATGCTTTCCACTTGCATCCAAAGTGTAAGACTAGCATTAGATCAGGGGTTCCCAAACTTCATACCTTCGCGTCCTTTTTCAAGCTGTTGGCATTAATATATTCATTCTTGTTGCTCCCTTTGGTAATAACTTATAATCAGTATAGGATTCATATAGACAACTTATAACGTGAATGCTAATCTTTACATACATTACTAATTATCTTTTTTTTTTTCTTTATAAATTATGTATCTTTCCGCGATTTGAGAGCCATCATACTGACGTGACATACTACGTGAATTAACCAAACCAAGATTACCCAATCATAACACTTTATAATATAAACAAAGAAAGTTTGATTGACAAAATAATATGAAACTAAACATGTGTTAAAATTTGTGAGTTAAAAGCAATGACTGAGATTGTTATGCACATGTATATTTCATCTATATTTATATATATATTATTAAGAGATACAGCTGAATTGAAAATATTTTAGAGTTTGTTGGTTCTAGAAAATAATAAATCATTTATATTGCTAATGTAATGTGTTTTAACTTTTAAATTTAAATTATGTATATTATTCTATTAATAAATAGATCAATTTCTTGTAAATGGTTCAGGAAAATTAGCATATATAAATGTATAAAGTGAGATATATAACATGGTAATTAAATATTTTATTAAAATAAATGGCAAAAAAATGGTATAACAATTTTGAAATAGTACTTTAACAAATGTTGAATTCATTTATATGTTACAGTAAATGTATAAAATAAATAAAATGTTAATCTGATAATACTTATTATGTATATAATCGCTTGTGCCACACAAATCTCATAATATAAAGTTACCAATCGTTACCATCCTCAAAATCATCATCTTTATTCTTCAAAGTTGAGAATAAGACATCCCTGACCTTGGGTCGAGGGTCCTCTGTAATTTTTGTTGGTATTGCCTCTTCTTGTCCCAACATCCATTCTAATTCTACAGAACAATAAATAGAGATTCAAAATTATTTTAAATATTATCTTTCATTTTATCTATCATTATTATCTATCATTTTGAATATTATCTTCTTTATTATTTTAGATTATTTTAGATATATCACCTTCTTCAGACAATTTCATGCCACGGAATTCAAGTGGTCCAATAATTTGTTTCATCATATTTCCATTATGATAAATGAATATTGTAGGAAGATTGCTGTCAGGCCAGTTGGGAATACATGTGGTAGAGATACTTTTCAAAAACTTTGTGGTAGGAAATTTTCTTACTAAACTGGTAAGGTACTGATTGACTAAAGTACAGAGTGGAATGCTATATGAAAAACATATTCAATTAATATTCTCACTCTATAATGTTTGTTGTGAAAGTTGTTGTTCTTGCATACCCAGATTTATAAAGATGTAGAACAACCCATACATCCTCTCCAGCTTTATTAATTTCGTGAACATAATCTTCCGCAGATATTTCTCGTACTTCTCCATATTTAGATTTGTTTGCTAATTCCTTCAGCTCTGCTATCCTCTTTTGCCGATATTCCTCCAGAATCCGTTCATCCTCTTCGTCTTCCAGTTCATCTAACTCGTCCAAAGTTTTTTCTTCTAAATTGTTAGAAACTATAATCAAATAATAATATATTGATAAAAACTATTTAAAAAGTAATATAATTTTTTTGGAAATTAAGAAACAATTACCGCGTCCTGTTTTTTCGTCTATAGTACTCTCCAAGAGATTTACTATTTGATCTTCAGTAACTTCTTGCTCTTTCTTCTTTTCAGGTATAATACCCTTCCTTCTGAGAATATCATTCCATTCGGTATCTTCATTTGGATCTTGCTAAAATAGAAAAATAAACCTGAAGTCACCTAACGAATAATATAAAATATATCTGAATTTGTTTACTATGTTATGACACATTTTATTTAAAAATCTAAATAGAGATGAAGCGTCTTTTTGCCTACAGTCATATTACCATATAAGGACTCACGCGTGACTAACCTTTGCTTAACCTCCTGAAACGTTTCAATTTTTGCTAGCACTTACCATTTTAAACAGTGGATATTAAATATTTCTATCAATTTTGCTTAAAATTGATTATATTTTATATTTTTTTATATATACATTCTTATGAATGTATACAAAAAGACAATTATTATAACACAAGAGACAGTGCAAAAATAATAGGAGAGAACAACAGCGACAGCTGATGCTGATGCTGATTTTTGATCTGTTTTCTACTCCAAGGCTGCGTTCGGAAATCACATTGGCCGCGATTAGTAGAGAAAACCGTTCAGTAGCAATCGAACGTGATTGGCGCTTACTTTTAGAACCAACAAATCAACGTCGAGTGTTGACAAGACCATAACTGAGTGTTTACTAAAAGTTGAACAAAGATAGAACGACGCTCGTGTGCACACAGATAATATGTTTCTGAACGCAGCCCAATGAAATAACAGTCACGTGGTCACGTATCACGTGGTCTATGAGCAGGGGCGCGTTGGTTCGTGTCCGTGCTAGATGCTAAATCCAAATAATTGTGGATCAAAATTGCGAAGAAATATTATGGATTTATTAACATTTTATTAGCTGCACATGATGTTTTGTTATTCTAGTACATACGCGGACAGCGTTAATAAATTATATATATATGCAAAACACTGAGGAAACACCACGTCATCATATGCACATACAATTCACACATAATATATTTAATTAAATTAATTAATAATAAGAAGCTATATAAATTAAAAGTTAAATAATTTGATATATTGCTTATTAAAATCTTTGATAATTTTGTCCAAAAGTGAAAGCAATTTATTGTATAAATATCTTCATCAACACATATTTAAAATTAGGAAAAAATTATTAAGAAAATTAATTTTATTTTATTCACGTTTTCAAATACATAAAAATACTTCAATAATAATTTTTATTATCGCTGGCTAATATATACTAAAATGACAACATCACGCACAGTCAATAAAACATTAATAAATCCATAATATTTCTCCGCATTTTTGATTCACAAAATTATACATTTAATAAAATTAATGTATTTATAATAAAACAGACACCGACGAGATATCATATATATATTATAAAGACGGATAGTATTTATGGGATTTAACCTGATTGGAAAAAAATTCATTGCACGTTATTTTAGTTTATCCAGTTTTAATAATATTAAAGTTTTATTATTGAAAATGTATAGATCTTTTATGTAACTGGCTCAAGAACAACAAAATAAACATTTTAAGCATATCAAGCAAAAGATTTACTTAATATATACCCACAGTAGCACGCAGCGAGTTTTCTTCCAGTCACGTTAAGTCCCATAAGACTATCGATCTTTAATGATACCTTGTTAATATTTTAGATAATAAAACAATAACTGGATGAACTAAAAGAACTGTATGAATTAAATAATTTGTGTAATTATCTTTAATGCAGTCAAAACGACCGGTAATATCAACATCCTTCAATTACCTCCGGGTTCACTTGATGGTCACAAAAATTTACCCCAAGATCAAGAAAGACATAAAGGATCGTCATTGGGGGTCACGAGCGGAGGTGGAATAGTTGACGCGTGTTTTAAACAGGGCTGACGACCTTTAATATTATATAGTATCTCGTCGATGTTCGAATTATCTTATTTTGTATACATCATTAATGCATGCGAAAAGTAGGATATCACACATTTTGAATATTATAAAATAATTTTATTTGTTGTATTCGTTATACAAGTAATGAAAATTAATATTAAATTTTCATATACAAAAAATATACATATCTCTCTTTTCAAATATACAAAAAAATATTCTGGAGAAATTTCTGTCTTTTTCAGTTTCTTATATAATCTTTACGATGAAAATAAGATTATATAGATGAAAAAACCAAGAGAACAATACGCGATTAATACTTTACGACCAATACTTTTGGCACTTTTTTTGAAAATTGCATATCAGTCTTTGTATATTTTGCAACCCGTGATTAACATTCTAATCATAAATCTTTGCAACTAAAAATCTCCTTTGTTAACATTATACACACTATAATAAATACATCAAATATATGTATATTGTACATAACTTATGATAAAAATATATCCGTTTAATTAAATAATAAATGTGAACATATCAACAATCGTATATAAAATTGTGTAAATTAAATAATAAATGTGAACATAATAATTTGCATATATGATCAAACATGAATACAATTAAAATATATGTGTATGTGTATGTGAATTCTTAGTCAAAAGTTGATTGTATATGTAACTGTTATATATTGTAACATGTAATAAGAAAAATAAGTGTCCTAAATAACATGTGCAATAAAACAAATTTTGGTCAATTTACTAAAATACATTATAAAAATTGTCTATTTGTTTTCTTGACATGTTTCATTTGATTGTTGATTTTTTGTTTCTACAGGAAGCGCAAGTGTAGCAATTGCAGCGCACAATGCGGTTGCTGCATAAATGGCCATAGCTCCCGTGATGGACCATTGTAGAAATACTTGCGCTATGTAAGGAGTGACCATAGCACCGATTCGCGCCATGGCACTGCATGCGCTTACACCTATGCTTCGTAAATGCGTGGGATATACTTCTGGTGTGTACACGTATGCGGCTTGAAATACACCTGCGATTAAACCTCTGGCTAGAAAAATGGCGATAGTCAACGCTGCTCTGCTTAATAAGCAGGTCCTACTCAAGAAGCAAATCACCATAGCAAACATTACTAATTGACAGGCCATTGTTTTTCGCCTGCCTATTCTCTCGATCGCAAAGACGGTGGAGAAAATGCCGGGAAACTCTGCCAATGTTGTCCAAAGTAAATCAATATAGTCGCCACGCTGTAATCGACAATCAAGTTGGCACGTATTCTCATCTTTGTTAGTGTCCTGTGTGCCACATTGCTCTGAGGACGTATGAAAAAGTTCAGTAGTCATTAACACCACTCCATAATAACAAAATGCTGTAATCATCCTGAAAAAAGTTAATGCAACAAATAATATATATGCCTATCTAGTAAAATTAAAAAATATTTCTTATCTTTGTACATTATAATTTGTATTTACCATACAAGCCAGAGTAAAGCAGATGTTTTGCACATTTCTTTACTTAAAACATCCTTTAATTGACCATGATGAGCTTGATAAAATCGATCCATAACTAATCTTCCTATAGGCAATGATTTTTTATTTTCTCTAGCTACACGTTCCAATGTCGAAACTGCACGATCTGTTTTCCCAGTTGTCATATCGAATATTGTAGATTCTGGTAGCCACTGCAAATTTGTATCACTATTTGATATAATCCACATTTTTAAACAATTACTAAGGAATTTATCAAATTTCCTAAGACAAATTAATATATATGTATAATATACATTGAAAATATTTATAAATCTATACATACCGGCGATATTACAGCAAATATAAATAATGGGATGGATGATAATATAAGAAGCCATCTCCATCCAAGATTGGGCATAATGATCAATGCAATTGCCACTTCAAAACAAGCCCCGAGAGCCCAAAAACACTGCAATGTAAATTTTTATTATAACGAGATAATATATTTAATAAATAACTTTAATCCCCTTCTTCTCCTTATAAATTCATGATATGAACTCACATCCAGTAAAATAACGCATCTTCCTCGTTGCTTTGCTGGCAAAAACTCTGCATATAATGTCACTCTGTAGAGAAAAAGGTGTATCAGTGATAATAACATACTGCAAAGCAAACAAGTTGCTTGTTCTTAAGAAACTTACCAAATACTTACGATTGTGGTACACAACCAATAGCAAATCCTACAACTCCTCTAAGCAATAGAATCCAGAGAAAGTTTGGTGCAAATGAGCTTAGAAATGCGTAATAAGATAATAGCACTGCACACAAAGTTAAAGCTTGTTTACGACCGTATCTGTCACTCAAATTATTCCAGAAAGTAGAGCTTAGCATCATGCCAAGAAAGACCACCTAAAAATTTGATTTCCAAAATAATAAATTTTAATTGCTGTATATATACATATACAAGAATAATTATTAAATTTATAACAATTACTGTTGTGGTCAATGCTTGCTGATATCTAGAAATGCCCCAGTCACAATGTAAGGATGGACTTAGGATACTTAGTATTGTAATCTCCATACTATCTACCATCCAGCAAAGACCCGTGAATAAAGACAATTTTACTTGAAATTTTCCAAACCCTAACGTATTGATAGCTTGTACCACAGTGAATGTATCTGTGAATAAAATATTTATATAACTTAATTATCATAAATCAATTATATTACTTCACATTCATATCTTTTCTTATATTACTTTACGTTCACATAATACGTATAGAAATTCTTTAAACATTATACAATATTTTATTTAATTACTGCATAAGATTTATGGAAAATATACAGACCTATTTCCTTGTGTGCATGCATTTCTAACATATACTGTTGTTAGAGACAATATCCTGTGTTATCAGTACAACTTAAGATAGTTATTAGTGAAACCAGATTCCCCAGTGTTATCTCATGCGATATGAAATATTTATACAGGATAGATTTTCTTCATCGTTACACACATTAAAGTTAGGCAAATCTTTTTCTGTACAATTAAGAGAGATATAATTAATTAATAAATAATCACTATAATCTATTATATACACTTTTATGCTGTTTATAACTTAATATAACATACCATCTGGTATAACGACAACAGAAGAAAGTTCCATCGATCGTTCAGTACCATTTTCAAAACTCGTATGACAACTCGACGTAGTCTGAGCGCAAACGTTTAATTCAGCGCCTTGTATTTCTTCCAATTGTCGATATCGTTCGTTAGATTTTTTATCTGGATTCGACATGGTTATGCATTCAACATAAACATATACAAGTATTCGTTTTTATCGTTTTAGGTTAATGTTTTAATCGAGCGCAATGAATAAATGTATATGTTTAATTTAATCCGTTCATTTTTTAAATTTTAATAAAAATATATTGAATAATATTTTTATTTTTCGAATTTTTGTTTTAACACATTGAAAGGCATCGAATAAGTTTATTACATATGATTATGGCTGCGGTCGTGAAGAAGCTATATATAGGAATGGAATACTTCGAAGAAGCATTGGGCGCGTTCAGCAGAAACCTGAGAGGGGTTACCGTACAGTGGCGTGCAATGGTGTGCGCATAATACATTTATATAATATAATATACATATCTATATGCTAAAAATAATTTCATATTGTTTATCATCTCTAAATAGAAAGCACCTACTCATTTTTTAAAACTTTTACATATATTTTTGAAAGCAGCTTTTAGAGGGAGTTATATAGTACTTCCTTTTACTCGATATAGGCTACGGTCGAGAAGACGCTAGAAATGCTTCGAAGCATTGCATTAACCAATTAGAATAAAGAAGTCTTTACTCTCTTTGCCCTGATTGGTCAATCAAACGCATCGAAGCACTTCTAGCATCTTTCCGACCGCAGCCATTAATATTTCAGTTACTTTAGTGAGGCAAAGCGCATAGGGCGCGCATGCACATAAAAGGCCGCGCATGCGCGCAAAAGGCTGCGCATGCGCGCCAGTAATACCAATTTCGAGACGCTGTGGATGTGGCAGCATCTCGAAACTGGCATTACTGGACTGGTGCGCGTTCATCCGAGTACATGTTTGGAGGCTAGAATTTTTGTAATCAAGTTTTGTAGAAAGGGGAGTAATCATAAAAAAATTATATTTTACAATGGATACATCAGATATGTTGCTGGAACCTAAATTAACGAACACGTCGCCAGATTTCGGTAAACCATCTGAAAAACAGAATAGTGTAAGTATATACTTTTTTATACAAAAATATAAATGATAATATATATAGTATCATATGCACGCACGTGTACACACTCATATACACAGTACACCATACACTCTCTCTGATATGATTAAAATTATTTTCTTATAAATTATAATTTAACATTTTACAGTTTTTTTTTAAAGCAAGATTATATAAATACTATAATATCAAAAAATAAAAATATATTGTTATTATTCTATTCAGGATTTTTATTCGTGTACATTACAGAAATAAATTGCTTCAAAAAATTTACAACACTAGACAATTAATTTTTCTATTTGTTTTAGCTGTTGCAATCTTTAGGTACACCACATATCGAATCTTTTAATTACATGCTGGAAGATGGTCTTTTTCAAAGTATAAAAAACAGTACACCAGTATATTTAACTCTTCCTAATGATGACAAAGTAGTTCTCTGGCTAGACGATGTACAAATTTATAAGCCTACTGTACCTTCTAGTACAATTGGTGTGAAGAATTATAAAATATATCCAACAGAATGTCGTCAAAGAGGTGCTACTTATAAGGGTAAAGTAACAGTGAGACTTGGATGGTCCATAAATGGTGAAGAGCAAGAAATTCTTGAGAAGGATTTAGGAGAAGTTCCAATTATGCTCAAGGTAAAATATAAAAGCCAGGATCTTACTAATTATTAATCAACAATTATTGTTAATAAATAGGTTTCTCACACATATACACACATTGAAAAAGATGAAATTATTACTCATAAGTACAGTAACTTTAGCAGAAAAAGATAATTTTTTTTGTCTTGATATATTTGCACTGACTGTACTTGCATTTACATTTGCATTTAGATTTCTTAAAGAAAATGAGATAAAATTTACTTTTTCTTTTTAAATAATCTTTACAAAACAAAAAAATAAATAATTGATATATATGACCAAAATGAGTAAAAGAAATAACAAATTGATTTCTCAATTTTCATTTTTTGACCATTAAATGTTGAATGCTCTTATTAATCTTTTTATGATAGTTCGTGTTTTAATATTTTATATATTTTTATGTTGAATTACAATTTATGAAAATATGTGATATTTATAGTCTAATCGATGTCACTTAAATAAAATGAGTCCAAAGGAATTAGTTGCTCATAATGAACTTGAACAAGAATGGGGTGGTTACTTTATAATCAGAGGAATCGAACGACTTATACGCATGTTAATAATGACGAGACGAAACTATCCCATTGCTATAAAGAGACCAACCTGGAAAACTCGTGGCGAACAATTTAGCGATTTAGGTATTTTTTTGAGAAGTGTTCAAGAAGATAACACTGCCACTGTATGTATACTTGAACAGAAATATTTTTTGGACTCTTCCATATGTATTTTATATGTATGAGAGAGATTGTATATATATAAATATATAAATTGAAATATAAATATATATAATATAAATACATTCTTTACAGAACAATACACTGCATTACGTGAATGATGGTTCTGCAAAATTTACTTTTACTCATAAAAAAACCACTTACTATATACCATTAATATTGCTGATAAAATGTTTGATAGATGTGACTGATGTATATATTTATAAAACATTAATTGCTGGATGTGAAAATGACCTCTATTATAGTAATAGTGTTATGAATATGTTACGTACTTTGCATGAAGAAGGTTTACATTGGCACGAACAATGTAAAGCATATGTAGGAAAAATATTCAAAGTTAAATTTTCTGAATTGCCTGCAGATGCAACTGACATAGATGTCTGTAATTACATTCTTAAGTGAGTTTGCATTTCATTAAATTATCTATTTCTTTTTTCTTGTATAATTCATTATAAGTTCTAATTTTATCATTATATACTCATTTATGTATAGGCATTGCGTCGCCATTCATCTTGATGAACCTATCGATAAATTTCATTTACTTGTATTCATGACTAAAAAATTGTTCGCTTTTGCTGGCAACAAATGCGCCGTCGAAGGTGTGGATTCTGTAATGATGCAAGAATGTTTGCTAGGTGGGCACTTATATCTGCAAGTTCTTAAAGAGAAATTAGGGTCGTGGCTGACAAGTCTCAAATACCATATACTCAAACGTGCCAAAAGTGCTGGTAATAGATACATCTTAACCGTGCGTGAGTATTTTATCTGTAAATTTGAACTCTTGTGAGAATAAAGCCAAGTATATATATGTGATTGGTCTTCTTACCTATTTAGAAGAAATGTTAAACGTCACCAAATTTCGGAGCAACATTGATGCACAAATGGAGTATTTCTTGTCCACTGGAAGCATAAGGTCATCCACCGGTCTAGGTCTCATGCAAAACACTGGTCTTACAATTGTTGTGGAAAATATCAACAGGATGCGCTATATGAGTCATTTTCGTGCGATACATAGAGGCGCATTCTTCCAAAATATGAGAACTACTGAAGTTAGACGATTGTTGCCTGATGCATGGGGTAATTAACAATCCTGCTATAGTTTTTCTACAACAATAGAGAATATTAGAGATGCTGAGAAAAGATATGATTAGAAATAAAAATACAAGCAATGATTCATAATCTTTTTTCAGCAATTATATATTATAATATAATTACAATCATAATCACTATAGTTCGATTAATAAAGTCAAAACATAAATATATTAATTATAATATTATTATATTATTTGTTCGCAGGATTTATTTGTCCAATACACACTCCAGATGGTGCTCCATGTGGATTGCTCAATCATTTGACAATGAATTGTATCGTTACAAAACATCCAAATCCAAAATTGAAAGCCGCGATACCTACAGTACTGGTAGATCTTGGAATGATTCCATTATCTATCGCCGATAACTGGAAAAATTCATATAACGTCATGTTAGATGGAAAACTGATTGGCTTAATCGAGGATAAGATTATTAATAAAGTGGTTCACAGACTGAGATTGCTTAAGATAAAGGGCCAAGAAGTAAGTTAAGAGTGCAATGTCTGATGATTTAATTTATAATTACATATAATTATATATATATTGATGAAACATTTTATCTTCAGATACCATCAACATTAGAAATTGCACTTGTACCAAAGAAGAAAGTTCCAGCTCAATATCCAGGATTATTCTTATTTACTAGTGCAGCTAGAATGATGAGACCGGTGATAAATCTAGCTGTGCAAGAGATTGAACTTGTTGGAACATTTGAGCAAATTTATATGGATGTTTGTGTGGTTCCTGAAGAAGCCTACGAAGAGGTAAATATACATCATGTTTTTTGGATTATTTTTGTGGTCTTTATATCTAATGATAAGAAAAAAAAACACTTTATTCTTTCTTATTAGTTAACGACTCATCAAGAAGTGAGTCAGACAACCATCTTCAGCAACTTAGCTAAACTTATCCCATTGCCAGATTGTAATCAGAGTCCAAGAAACATGTATCAATGTCAGGTAAATCTTTTTATACTTACAATGAGATAATTAATGTTTTTGGGCTAGTATATACAACATTGTTTCACTAAAAATAATAATTTATAATTAACAATGATGCAATAGTAATCATTCATAGAGATTTGAACACAAACTATTCCAAATCTATTAAATTGCATCTATAGGCCTATAGATTACAAATATGTTAATAACGCAAATGAAAATATTTACCAATATTTTCTCGATCTCGTAGATGGGTAAGCAAACAATGGGAACACCATGTTACAATTGGCAACAACAGTCGCAAACAAAAATGTACAGATTACAAACGCCCGCCGCGCCTCTCTTTAGGCCAGTACATTATGATAATATTAATATGGATGATTTTGCGATGGGTACCAATGCAATAATTGCTGTTATCTCATATACGGTAAGTGTTACTTGGTTTCTAGTATCAAAGATTTGGTTCAAGAATTGTTCACTATTCTATTTCTTATCGTTGATAATCGAATACACAGGGATACGATATGGAAGACGCAATGGTTATCAACAAAGCGTCTTATGAACGCGGTTTTGGACACGGTACGGTCTACAAATCTGAATTTGTTGAGTTGAACGATAAGAAGAGTTACTTCGCCCGCAATCCGGATAAACCTGAACTCGAGAAAACATTAGATATTGATGGTTTACCTATTATAGGTGCCTCTATCAAAGAGGGTGACCCGTACTATTGGTAAGTAATTCTTTTAATTTTGATATATCTTCAATTTTTTATTTCAAAAACTCATTGAATCTATGCATTTGACAGTTATTATGATGCTGATAATACTAATTATGTCACTGGAAAATATAAAGGCACAGAAAACACTTACATCGACAGTGTGAAGTTATGTGGAACATTCAACAGTCAAGAGCCTCGAAAAGCATGCATTACATTCCGTATTCCTGTTAGTACACTTTTGTATATATATA